TTAAGCAATAATCATAAATCGTATTTGAGATACGGCACGACATGTGAAAAACTCCTCCCCCTTTTTTTACAAAATACTCAATAACTCAAAAATAAAATTTTGAATCATCACCAAAAAGTATACAGATCTTAAGGTTAATATAACTAAGAAGTGTGTCAAGTTTTAAGCAATAATCATAACCGGTTTTTGAGATACGGCGCGACATGTGAAAAACCCCTCCCCCTTTTTTAACAAAATACTCAATATCTCTAAAATAAAATTTTGAATCATCACCAAAAAGAATACAGATCTTAAGATTAATATAACTAAGAAGTGTGTAAAGTTTTAATCAATAATCATAAATTGTTTTTGAGATATGGCGCGACATGTGAAAAAAAACACACACCTGTTTTAGTTACTAAGTCCTGTAACTCAAAAAGTTTTAATCTTATTTTCACCAAAAAGTATACAGATCGTTTGACCATCATAAGAAACAACTATATTAAGTTTCATGAAATTTGGATAAGTCATTCTCAAGTTACGGTGCGACATGTTTACGCCGGACAGACAGACGGACAGACAGACGGACAGACGGACAGACTGACAGACAGACGGACGGACGCCGGACATTTGTATACCATAATACGTCCCGTCAAAAATTTGACGGGTGTATAAAAATAGAACAAAACACCATAATCGAGCTCTATTTACACCTGTTAGAGTGAATCATTTACATAAGTCCTATTTAAAATATACACAGATTTTCAGTTTGATCTTCTTATTCCTTATGGAATAGAGGTTTAAGGTGGTACCTAACACTACAGGGAGATAACTCTGTAAAAATCAGCTAAACGTTTTAATTACGTTGTATTGTTAAGGAAATATTAAGCTTCTCAATGATCAAAATTAGTGTTTGTCAAACTGCTATACAACCAATGAAATTTTTCTGATAAAGTGGTTGGTTCAAATTTTTTGAAATTTTTATATTTTTGTCAAAGGGTCAAAGTAAACATTTTCTCAAAATTTTATGAAAATTAAACAAGCCAAATTAATATTAGTCAAGGTGTTGGGTACCACTTTAAAACTTATAAAATACAGTTTGTTTATCCATTCAAATATGCTAAAAGGTTGAGGAGTAAATAAAACTTATAAAATCTAAAATATCTTATTTGTTTTTTATATACCTATATGGAGTTATTTTCTTTCAGAACGATAGGTCATTCTTTCGAAGAATCAACCCGGACGATACCATGTTTCAATGAAATATGCTCCAAGGCATAAAATAATGACCTGTGTGAGGTCATTATTTTCCTTGATAAAAATGCAAACTATAATTTACCTCAAAATTATATTCGTCTGATAGTTTCTGTTGCCGATTTGGGAATTTATTTTTTTAAGTTCAATCTATGATAGGTGTAAAAAATTGTCCTTGCCCGAATTTTAATTTTAGAAACAAATAAGGTGAAGTTTTGTTAATTTATCGCTACAATACAGAGACATTATCATATATGCGAGATGAATTTTAATGTAAAACTTTCATAACACTTTAAAATAAAGCCAGATTTAACATATTCGTGTGTAAGATTTTGAAAATCTAATTGATTCAAACTGAATAGGTTAATTGATTGATGGTTACTTAACGTCCAGTGGCAAATATTTCATGCATGTTCAGGACGATACACACTGAATAGGAAATCATACTGTGACCTACATGTATTGATATTCGTTTTCGTGTAACATGTACATGTATCACGATTTTGTGCCCCCTTTGTGTCAGTTCTTAACTTTTTTACATTTATGTATACCTTTTACTCTATCAAATGATTAACTAATAAAATATTCTTATATTCTATTGAATAACATTCACGTACCTCACAATGAGGGGAAGAGGTGTATAATTATATCCTGATTATCTGTTAAAAAAATGTATTGCTATTCAAAAGAAAATCATTCTGAATAGGAAATCATACTGTGACCTACATGTATTGATATTCGTTTTCATGTAACATGTACATGTATCACGATTTCGTGCCCCCTTCGTGTCAGTTCTTAACTTTTTTACATTTATGTATACCTTTTACTCTATCAAATGATTAACTAATAAAATATTCTTATATTCTATTGAATAACATTCACGTACCTCACAATGAGGGGGAGAGGTGTATAATTATATCCTGATTATCTGTTAAAAAAATGTATTGCTATTCAAAAGAAAATCATTCTGAATATTTCATTCGATTCAATTAAAATTGTTGAAAAAATAATCACTTTTCCGCGATAAAATGTCATTACAAATCGACAAGAAAACATACATGTAGCTCCTCCCCCTTTCCATAAACTAAGTTGGTACAATAAATTACTTACAAAGTGTCTTGTATTTTTCATACACCGTTATCAGATGGTTACAATTCATTTGTGTCTTACTTCATGCAGTTACAGTAATATTTTTATTGTGTATGGATAATAATTTCTAAGGTCTATATCTAGATTAATTGGTGAGTTTTATTTCACATTCTAAATGAGCCGTAGGGCGTTTTAAAACCTGAACGCATTAGAAAGGAATATCCCACTTTTAAGTGTGGTCGGTAAAATAGGATGCTAAATTTTGCAAATCTTTAAAAAAAGAATATTTTTTGACGATATATAAGTCAGATAATGCATATTTTAAGGTTTTTCTTGTCGTAGAACACATCTTGGGGTGTCAGGATTGCCCAAAGAAAGACCTCCCTCTGGTTGGTCTTTCATTTGATCCATCCTGACACCCCTCAGTGTGTTCTTAGTAACAACAAGAAAAACCTTAAAATATGCATTATCTATAACAGATTTTGTTTCATTGGGGGGAAACAATAACCAACACATTGACAATTCTATTTAACATTGATAAAAATAAAGTGAATAGTTAAAACTTCTAAAATAACTTATTTGTCTTAGATTTAAATCCTTAAGTTGGATTATATTTAAGTGTTGATGAATATCCATCTTATGGTCAAAGTTAACACTACTAGACTTGGACTCAGATTTTTTTTTAACCAGTCTAAATTATTTGTCTTAAATGTTATTTATACATTATCAATATATATAGAATGATCCATATATTTGAAGAAAAAAAAATAAAAAAAAATAAATAAATGAAAATCACAGAAATTTGGAATTTTGGACAAAGCAAAAACAAAAAAGAATGTCTTACTAATACAGCATTCATTACAGCTCGCAAAGGATTTTTTTTTTCAATTATTTTCGTTCAGGCAATAACTAAGAGGAACATATAGGTAGTTACAAACATAGACAAAACATCAAGCATACATATAAACCAACATATAATACATGTAGTATTCATTTTTGGGAATGTTGATAAAATGTAATGGAAATTTATCACAAAGTACTTTAGAGCTGACAAAAAAGGCAAAAAAAGTATTTTTTGCAATAAAATCCTATACTAAATCATTGAATAATCTACCTATAAAAGTAGCAAATAATCTTTTTGATTCTTTAGCATGTTTAGTAAAACCAATTATGACCTATAATCATGATAATTCAGAAGTAACATATTTGGATACATATATTAATATATATATTTCTTTTCATAGAGCCAAAAACAGAGCCTTATCTTCAGGAAAACAAATTATTCAACTTGATTTTACAGACAAAACCCCTATCGAAAATATGCATCTTAAATTTTGTAAATCTACTCTAGGAATAAGAAAAAATGCATCCAATTTAGGAGCAAGAGTTGAATTAGGAAGATTGCCTATAGAATGTTTTATTAAAACACAAACCCTTTTATATTTAGCTAGACTATATAATAATAATATTAATCCATTGATAAAGGAAGCTTTTTCTCTAGCACAGTCTCTAGATTTGACGGGAACTTATTCATGGTATACATATGCAAAAAATATTGTTGAAGAGACTAATATTGACCTTAATATTTTTATAATTGTAAGGACATAAAACATGTAAATAAAATAAAAAACGATATAAAGTTAAAAATGAAAAATAGATATGAAGATTTAATTGAAACTAAATTTGAAAACATTGATGATAAAAGTAAATTTTATCTATATAAAAAAGGTAAAAAGGATTGCAAACTAGAATCTTATCTAAATATATCTAATTTTCAGATAAGGAGATTGATCACTAAATTTAGACTAAGTGATCACTCCTTCTTAATTGAAAAGGGGAGATATTTTAAAATCCCAAGAGAGGAACGACTTTGTCATAAATGTAAAATACTAGAGGATGAGAAACATTTTTTACTCTATTGTGATTATAATTAAACACTAAGAAATGCCTTTTTTGAACACATATGTACTGAAAATAATAACTTTAATAATTTAAATGAAGAAGAAAAAATTCATTATTTACTAAATCCATCAACGCCTTTACAAACAAATAAGTTAGGATCCTTCTTGAAAAAGTCATTAGAACTGAGGGCAGGGGACTCTTAACAGCTTGTTTGTTTTTATAAATTTTGATGCTGTTTTTATTGTGTATGTTTGATATGTATGTATATATGTTTATTGTGTTAATACATGTTGGTCACAAACTGTAAAATTTATACGACAATAAAATATTTGATTTGATTTATTAAATCATAATATAGATGGTGATGTGGATAAGGTAAAGAAATGTAAGTGAAAGTAATTCAGGTAAACAAAGTACCTATTATTTTATAATAAAAAATTATTCTTCAAGTATTGTGTTAAATTTTACAACGAAATATGATGTGTGGTAACGTTAGCCCAAGCAGCTAGCTAGGTCTAGGGGAGAAGGGGGGCCTCTTTCTAAAAGTTTGCAGATATATATTATTTGTTTTGCACATGCAGATTTGTATGTGTAAGTATTTTTTATGTACATATATTCCTACTTTAGATAAATTTAACTTACTTTATTGATTTTCTGTGTCTACCCGGCACTGAACGACTTCCATTTATAGATCAATTTTGCTGAGTGACATTTAATTCGTCGTCATGATGTACCTGGAAGAACATATGAAAACGTTACATTGTATATTTACTTACTCAAGTATATAGTGAATAACATTATAGGATAGAACAAACTCCACACTGGTTTGTTTTGATTTGCAACAGGTAAATTTTCGCCGGGTGTATTGTGGGAAATGAAATAGGGTATTATGACGTCACACGAACAGGTGCTCGACTTTCTCACGATTACCTAAAAGCAGGTCAATAATATATACAATGTATACAGTGAAACCTGTACACTGTGTCTAACTACCCCGGCAAAAAATGTTTGGACTCGATGGTATCTAATATCCGGCACGGTGACGGAACATCAATAGACAGAGAAAAGGTAGTTTTCTGTTTATTTATTTGTTATTGTTATGATATCGAAGAATATTTATACATATATAACTGTTTTCTATTGTGAGATGTAATATTTTCTACAACCGTTCTAGATTAACGGAGAAATACAGAGGCGGATTTAGAGGGGGGCCCAGGGGGCCCGGGCCCCCCCTTTTCTGGGAAAAATTTGGTTGATTATATAGGGAATCACTGAAGCATGACCGGAGCGGCCCCCTCTTAGGCAGTCAGTGGGCCCCCACTTATGAAAATTTCTGGATCCGCCACTGAAATAAGTAATCAAAGTACTGAAGTACTGAACATCGGATGACCACAGGTTCTTGTGGATGGTCAAAAGCACATGTCACAGAAACAGATCACATCTCTATACCTGAAACTGAGGTTAATTTACAGAGATTTTTTTTTCTTATACAAGTTCGTGCTTGGATGATGAATAAATGACAGGAAATTCAACCTCACCGTAATAACTATTATATTGTAGTGATACAAATCAGTATACCTTAGACTATTATACTTATATAATAACAGTTCCAGAGAATACACTGGTTTGTTGTTATATATTATATTAATATTACGGTTGCATGTATATATAATTTTCATCTATTTGTATATCATACTATTCTACTATTATTATAGTTAAATGCAAGTGCATGGTGGATACTCTTCTGTAAAAAAAATCAAAGTCTTAAAGGCTGTAAAAGCAATTGCTGCCATGTTAATGTTTTGTGGACTTTTATTTTTCATCCACATATATAAGAATTAAACCTGACAGGACAGGAGTGTTGACTAGTGAGAAGCAAGACGGTTTTAACTTTATATCAATATAAGACTTTAGCAGGAAATCATTTTAAATATGTTTTATATTTTACAAGGAGACAACAAGTTTACCAGGCTAAAGTTGGGGTTAATTATACATGTGCTGAACTTGACATATAACTGAAAAAAAAATCATTATGGAGTATCCCCTGGTAGTGTTTGTAACTGGGCAATAATTTCCTTTATTGATTTAATTTTAACCATTTTCATAATTAATTTAAATTAACCATTCAGTTAAAACATTTCAACTTTCCAGACGCTAATGTTGAAAAACGGGACAGAAATAAAATATCTTACAAGACATAAACATGTAAAAAATAAATATATATTTCAGCTTACTAAAAATATTTTCATAATGTTACTTTGACATCATTTCTTAAAACTAAGTCCCAAACATAATTGCTCAGTTGACATGTGTCATCCTCATGCGATACGAGATAACTATAATTCTGATGCAATCCCGAAAAGGGGGGTCATCATAAACAAACATGACATTAAATTGTCATTATACGAACTAGAACAAACAGCTCTATGTTGCTTTGATATTTATCAATTTTCAGGAAACATGTGAAATAAATTTCAGGTCCATTTCATTATAGTGCCTAACAAGATTGTGTGAGGTAGACGAAATTGACCTTAAAACGATCGTATTGTCTTTTGATGTCCAAAAATAGGCAGATCGGACATATACGGACTTTATCTAATGACTACATAAATTTGGGATTTATTATTATTATAATATTCTAATGAAACTGAAAATTGTAATTTTTTTTAGGATAAACAACAATTTTACCTGGCGTAGCCGTTCATAAATGTTTTTCTGCATTTATCTTCGAAAAATGGCGTATTTAATGGAATAGAACGTTAATACAGTAAACTTTCTCTTTTTTCTCCGCAATAGGCTATCAAAAATAATTTATCTAATGTGTATGTGGAAAATTATGTGAAAAGATAAAAAGTGGCAATTGTTACCTTTCATACCTTAAGTTTCGTTCATCTGATTCTGACCAATGCTTATATACTAAATATCTATTTATATGCCGCTATTATTGTTGTTGTTACCAATTATGTAAATCAATTGTATCTGATTTTATGCCCTTTATGGGCCCTGTAATTTGGGAAGTAAAAAAAAAATCTATTCATTGATAAAACGTAATATCCAGTGTCCAGTTTGCAGGTCATTTAATTTTCTGTACACATTCATGCACGCTCTGATTTAATCAATATACTCGTACGAAAAAGCATGAACAGTTTGAAGGTAATCTAATAATAACTTAATCCAATCAAATTGCATAAGATTCAATAACAATGTCAAGTCCACATCATAATGAGTAATAGAGGTAAACTGGGTAGGGAGAAAATGACAGATATTTCAAGTTAATATTTATGCAATAACGAATTAAAATTTGTCAACCAAAAGTTTTGCTACAATTTCAAAAACATGTCGTTCTGTATGGGTATAGTTTTCGGATCTTTCATTAGCGTATTTAAGGCTATAAAAAGTTTGGGCTTCAAAAGTTCACACAATTATTGACTTTATACAGAAAATTCGTCCTTGTAAAACATTTAATAGTTCACAAATGATACGCGATTTTAAAGTAAAATTATGTCTTAAAACACTGCAAAAAATTTCATTCATATTGATAAAGTTGTATCGTCATAAAGTGCGTTGAAATGAACAGTGGTATAGCAAACATCGAATTCCCTCACAAAATGTTATCACACACTACAGTATGGGGAGTCAGTTAAGTTTGTCTATTTTTAGATACTATACAGGTAATCTTTTGACACTACGTATACAACCTGTGTGACCTGTGTAGTGATTTTGATTTTACGATAAATTCATGAATGAACGATAATTTTATGAATGAACATGAGCACCTGACCTCTTTCTTAAACACCTATTAAACATATAAAACCGTATTTAATAAGGAGATAATTCAGTCAAATTTTCAGTACTAAATCAACAACTGAAATGATTCCATTTTTTGATGAAACATCGTACGAACGGAGAACGGAATCGCAGGTATAAAAATGCACTTTTTTCCCTTGTAATGACCGCGGATCTATAATTTTTATAGATCGGTTGAAATCCCAAAACTAATTTGCATAATGGAAATTTAGGCGATAGCAATACATCGGAGTGACCTCAAGGTCATCCTCTGTAAAAATGCACGTCAAAATGACGAATTGAGTGAACCTTGCCTCGAATTTGTTTAATTTCTCCTTAAATTGTTCACATGGTACGGAATGAAAGATATTGACATGGAGATTGCAAAACTAGTCACTTTGAGCACCTCAATACTTGTATTTCTGCGTATGGAACGAAAGAAATGGGTCATGTCAAAATGGAAGCACCCGGTTTTGTCAATGTACGTGTACAACCCGGTTTTGTCCTAGATTTCACAAGGCAGAACCCGTTTTGTCAAAAAAAAAAATGCATAATCGCATAACATAATTGAACTTCAGCAATTAAAAGGAGTTTGGTGGCTGGTTATTTATTTGAATCTGTAAACACTTAATTCCTACTTTATTGGAACAAAAATATTTATAATTTTGCTTTGCATTAAAAAAAATAATACTCTAACTGCGAAATAGATAGAAATGAAGGTTAAACCGCAAATTGAGTTTTAAGCCCTCTAAACGTTTTTTTTATGAATTATGTAAATTTTAGTGTTTAAACTTAAAATTAGAGTTTATGGTCTTAAAAATTGAAGGACGCACATTTGATATGTGATTTTCTTCCACACTAGGATGGTTATCTTTATAAGTAATCCAATCTACCTAGGGGTGTAATATTTCCTATGATCGTTTAAAATAACTCTTCTTAAGGCTAAATGTTCATTATAAGGCATGATAATCAAACAAATGTATATATGCTTGCAGAATCGCCATAGAAAATGAATGTTTATGGTGAGAAAAGGATTACAATAATCATGCATTAAAAATCAAATCTATCTATCCCTAATTGTAACTATAACATGTATAATACTAAGTATAAATTAGTATTATAATAGTCTCAGGCCATCGAGAAAATGCAATAATGATAGTTTATTAATAGTTGTATAAATAAACGGTTCTGTTATCTCTCCATCGTGTTATGATTATCGTACATTGATGTTGGTCAAAATATTATTGACAATATATAGGGACGGATTCAGGTTTTTTCAAAGTGGGCGTAATTCCAACAGCTTACATACCGCAGAGTGTAGCAAAGCGAACAATGTTTTGGACGAATTATGCTAAAAAAAATCGTAAAAAAAAGATATAATTTTTTTGGGCCACCAAAGGTGGGGTTGGGGCGTGTGACCTATACGCCGCCTGGATTCGCCACTGATGTTATAAACTAAATCGTATACCAACTTAAAATTTTACATGATATGAAATGAGGGACACCCGTGAAATTCACGGGATGTATGTGAGAAGGATTATCATGTTTATTCTAAAAATTCACATTGATATTTTGGAATTGTCGGAATGCGAGACCAAGGGATGCAAATTCGTGGCGGCTTGAACTATTTGACTGTATGAAGTTTCATATGTCAGAAGTTAGAAGGTCTGACTGTATAAATAATACGTAGTACTTATTTTTGTAAAAACAAATCGCAATTGAAGTTGTTTTGACATGTCTGATTAGTTTATCTCGTTCGTGTATGCCTTAATTATGAAATGTGAGACTTTTTTTTAATTTAAGAACGGTGCAATCTTGTTTGGAATTCTTGGTTGGTTTTAGCTCACCTGACCCCAAGGGAAAAGTGAGCTTTTTTCCTCACTTGGCCCCCGTCGTCCGTCGTCTTCCGTTAATTTTTTACATAATCTTCTCCTCTGAAATTACTGGGCTACAACACATTTAACAAACCTTATCCACAATCTTATGTCGGTTTTAAAAGGTCTAACGAACTTATGTTTAACTGATTTCATCATCATTGGGGTATCTAGTTTAAAAAGTTTTTGATGACCCCCGCTTGTC